GTCACTGTTACTGTATTACCCCAACTGCCTCTCTTCAAGGATAATTGCATCCTTATCACAAGGGACTGGGCAGGAGGGCTCTGTTGAGAGAGGCGGAAGACTTGCTAGAATGGCTTAGTTCTTTCCAATTTGGGAAGAGACGACACCCAATGTAGCATCTTAAGAGAGAAAAAGGGGCTAGGACAGCACCAGCGTGCGACTGAGAAGCCTATTTGTCCATGTGAATCCCCAGTTGTGACACCACTAGGGCCCCCAGAACGTGGGCTGAATTAAATTCCAGGGAAGAACACAGACCAGCAATGTTGATTTGAACTTTTCATCCATGAAGGCATAGAAAAGAGTGGTGAAGCGGCTATAAAACCAGGCAGAAGTTTCAATGTCACCTGGTAGCTGTGTAACCTTATTTCTCCAAATTCATTTTCTCATGTGCAAAATGAGACTGATAATCATAAAACCTATTTTAATGAATCAGTATAATTACTTAAATAGGTGGTAAGTATTCAAAAATGTTTTAAAATGATATTACTATTTTAAAAGAATGATAGAAAAGTAAACATTTTCTAGCCTCAGCTCTGGTTTATCTGCTTCCAAGCATCAATCCCATTCACCCTACAGCTGCCTATCCACCTACCAATCTCACTGATGTGACCAGCATTTAGGATGCCCTGGCCTTACTGTTCACAACAGCAAAGACTAGGAACCAACCCAAATGTCCATCAATGATAGACTGACTAAAGAAAACTTGGCACATATACAGCATGGAATACTAGGCAGCCATAAAAAGGATGAGTTTATGTCCTTTGCAGGGACATGGATGAAGCTGGAAACCATCATTCTCAGCAAACTACACGAGAACAGAAAACCAGACACTACATGTTCTCACTCACAAGTAAGAGTTAAATAATGAGAACACATGGTTACAGGGAGGGGAACATCACACACTGGGGCCTGTTGGGGGTGGGGGTTGGGGAGGGACAGCATTAGGAGAAATACCTAATGTAGACGACGGGTTGATGGGTGTAGCAAACCACCATGGCACGCTATGTAACAAACCTGCACATTCTGCACATGTACCCCAGAATTTAAAGTACAACAAATAAAATTGAAAAATAAAAATAAAAAAATAAAGAACACATCTGCGTTTTCCTCCAAGCCTCCAGACAACCTACAGCAGACTTCCACAACACGCTTGAAATCTTTCCACCCTTCCCCTCGTCTTCATGCTCCGCCTCATATGCTTCCTCAAGCCAATAGATTTTCACACAAATACTAGCTTCCTGCATGCAGAAATATGATTATCTCTTCTCCTTCCTCACCTCTACCAAGTTTCTTCAAGCAAAGCACAGCCCTCCAAAGCCATATTCCAGGAAAGTTCCACCCACCAATGAATATATTCAGCTTGGAGCCTCTAATTGCGGCCCAGGGTCAAAGTCCCAGATTCACTCAGACTAAAAGTGGTGCTATGCCTCCTGTTACCATCTAAATAATTACTCCCACAGAGATGACTCTAGAGCCCCTGGCCAGCCATATTCTCCTGTGAATCTCTACAAAACCATTTAAAGGCCCCTATTGAGATTAATTTAAACCTTATTTATTAAAAAGTAAAAGTCCTCTTCTTTTTCCATTTTCCACTGTCCCTTTCATGGATAGCCATTCAAAACACAGCCTGGATAATAAAGCACCTTCTCCCTGCATCTGCTACTATCTTGCTAGAAGGTTCCTCTCTCACTTGTCCTTCTTCCACCTGGACAACTCCTACTCAATCCTAGAGGTTCAGCTCAGACACCATCCTCCCTATGAGGCTTTCCTGAGGGTGAGCCTTCTCAGTGAAGAGCAGCCAAAACTTACCCTGCAAAAGCACTTAATACATGGACACGCCCCACTCCACCTTCCCCGCCACCCCATACACACACAGACACACCACACACCTGTGTGCTCTTCAAAGGCAGGGACCACGTACACTTCATCTTTGTACTCTCGGGGCCTAGCCAGTTTCTGCTTCACTGGAAGCAGGCTCCAACTCCTGGTTTTACCATGCTACCTGCCATTTTCTATCTCCGTCTTTTTTCTATTTAATGCAGCAAATCCCTGGACTAAGGGGGCTACTGTTCTCACAAGTTACACTCTGCCCATGTACAAAAATCCCATCATTCCAGCATCTCAAGCATAGTTCTGAAATCAAATCCAACCTAATTCTTGCCCCATTCCCAATTAACCCATGCCAGTTCCACAGCAGGGTAAAGTCACATGTCATCACCAAGATGCAAACGTTCTGGGCTGTAATTTTGAGCACATCTCTAATTAGCTATGTGACCTTGGGCAAGGGTTAAAATGAAGGTGGCAGCAACACTAGATCTAATTCTCAGGGGACCTAGATTCAAATGGAATATCTGATTGGAAAGTGTTTTATAAAGTGCAAAGCACTGTACAGTCACAAAAGACATGATTAACAATTTTATCAGATTTAAGCCATTGACTATAAGATGTGCCATTACCAACTTAGAATGAAAAAAAAAACTGCACAACTATGGTACATGGTGATTATAAGACAATCGCATTTCAATGATATTAAAATGTGAAAAAGTGTCTTTTAGAATTGATTGAATACAGCTTATTTGTCTCAATAAAATACGGGAATCTGCTACAAGATTTTCATATTTGCCAATGATACATAATCGGTACCCAGTAACCTATGTCAAGTAAACGAACAAGAACCAAATGATAATATTCTTTTTAGGAGGCCAGGGGAATGGAATTTTGCTCTGCTGCCCAGGCTGGAGCGCAATGGCACAATGTCAGCTCACTGCAACCTCCTCCTCCCAGGTTCAAGTGGTTCTCCTGCCTCAGCCTCCCAAGCAGCTGGTACTACAGGCGCATGCCACCACACCCGGCTAATTTTTGTATTTTTAGTAGAGATGGAGTTTCACTATGTTGACGAGGCTGGTCTCAAAGTCCTGACCTCACATGATCCGCCTGCCTCGGCTCTCCAAAATGCTGAGATTATAGGCGTGAGCCATCGCACCTGGCCAATAATATTCTTAGGCCAAATTATCGCCTCTCATTGTAATTGGGCGGCAGGAGGCTTTCCAATCCCTGTATCTCCCCTCTAAATCACATCCCAGCCTGCTCAAAACCATCAAATGATGACTTTAAGATATATCCAAACTCCTTAGCCTGGCATTTTTAAGGCCCTTTACAAACAAGTTACCTCTCCTGTTCGTTGCTTCCTGGAACTGTCTTCACCAGAATGTGTCATTCCAAGAAAGATCCTACTCAAGTCCCAGCCATAGCATTCAGCTTATCAGCTTGGCTTCTCCTCCCTCTGCCTACACTCAAAACCAACTCTAAGCCCATGCTGCTTACAGACAGCCTGCCTCTGGGGGAATTGCCTGACCATAAGGGCCCAGGCTTTTACCCCTACCATTCAGATTAGGAAAATCCCATCTGAAGCCTACATTCTAGACTATAAAGGCTTGAGTGCTGGGGTTGGGGACTGCATTGCAGAAACTAAATGCAAAAATACACACTTAACTTTTTTTTTTTTTTTTTTTTTTGAGACGCAGTCACCCTCTGTCACCCAGGCTGGAGTGCAGTGGTATGATCTCGACTCACTGCAACCTCTGTCTCCCAGGTTCAGGCAATTCTCCTGCCTCAGACTCCCAAGCAGCTGGAACTACAAGTAACCACCACCATGCCTGGCTAATATTTTGTATTTTTAGTAGAGACCGGGTTTTGCCACTTTGCCCAGGCTGGTTTCGAACTCCTGAGCTCAGGCAATCCGCCCGCCTCAGACTACCAAAGTGCTGCGATTACAGGAGTCAGCTACCGCACCGAGCCCACATACTCTTTCCTTTAACTGCCCCGTGGTTCTGGCAGAAACTATGCAAGCAGAAAAACTGGCGATGATGTGGAGAAAGCCCTACTGGGTGTCCTAGCCCCCTACTGTCCACCATTACTCACCGTAGGCTCTAGGAGAAGCAACCACCTTTGCCTGTTCTATGTATAAGAGTTGAGGTAGGGGGCGGATGGAAGAGGGAGCTAGACGTTTTCTAAAGGTGTGTATCCACACTTTCCCTTTCTTCCCTTTAGGCTTTCTTAAAATGCCCATATGCAGGGAAAGGTAAGCCATCAAGTCACTAACACCTAAGTGAGAATGAGTTTTACAGGAAAGGCAAGAATTGTAGAAAAAGGGGAAGGAGTAGAAAGAGAAAGACTGGAAACAGTTAAGTGAGTTTGGTACCAGTAAAAGCGCTCAGAGAAGACCCTGAGTTCTCACTGGTTGTTTTGTGTTGAGGAGGGAAAACTGGATCCCTTCTACGGGAAGGGCAGCCAGACAGATTTTTCGGTCCTCCTACGACTCTGAGGTTCCAAAGACTGTGCCCTGTCCAAGCATCCAGGCACAATTCCGCTGATTAGCTCAACTCATGTCACAACCTCCCCCACCCCCAACCTCTTGCCTCCAACTAGAGAACATGTATACTTTCATCTCCATTTCCCACACTACTTCATCTCCTCTGGCCCACAGTTCCCTGGAAGAGATGTCTTCCTCCAAGCCGCTGGCTGGCTTCAGGAAACTCCTCATCCTTCAAAAGCCCCATTAAGTGAGAGCTTTCCAAAGGGCCGTCCCAGGGACCAGAAAATCAAACCCCTTCCCGGCAACTTCCTTTAACTTTGTCTATGCCTTTCCTCCAGCACTTAGCACTTTCCACCTGGGCCAGGTTTGACTCCTGGGTTCAGCTGAGAATTCCTTGAGGGCAACGTCCAACACACCCAGCTCAGTGCCTGCCACACACAGGGTGCTAGAGAAATGCCTCGAGAAAGCGAACTCAAGGCCGGAGCCAACTATTTGAATCACGGCTTGGCCTCTAGTAAATAACCTAAGGGCGACCCTCCTTCTCTCTGGGCCTCAGCTGCCCCAACTGTAAAATGGGAGGACTTGGTTGGCTGCGTCTAGGCCCTTTCCGCGGTGACAACTGCGATTCCGCGAAAGCTCTAAGCGGATGGGCGTGGCCCCGCCCCCTGGGCGCCCAGAAAAGTCCGGGAAGGGGGCGCACAAGGCTCCAACCCCGCCTAGCCCGGGGTCGACGCTTTCGGAAAAACTCTGCGCCCCCCTCCCCCATGGCGTGCACCCCGTGATTGGGCCGCGGCCGACACTTCCGCACAGCGGGCCAGGCCAGAGCAGGGCGCGCGCCCCGCGCTCCAGCCACCCCGGAGGCGCTCGCGCCGAGGGAGGGCTGGGGGTTCCCGAGGCGCCCGCGGGCGGAGGGAGAGGGGAAGGAAGGATTTGCAACAATACCTCTGGGAGGAGGCAGCCGGGGCGGCAGCAGCGGCGGCGGCGGCGGCGGCGGCGGCTGGAGGCGGAGGCAGAGGCAGAGGAGGAGGTGCCCGGGCACTCCCCCTCCCATTGTCCCCAGCCCCGGACAGGCTCGGCCCCGCGCCCCGCACCGGCCTCCTCAAGCGCGCCGCCCGCGCCCAGCGCCCCGCGCCCCGCGCCCCGGCCCCGGCCCCGCGCCGTGCAGCCAGCCCTTACCTTGCAGCGCCCGGCTCTCCCCCGGTCGCTAAATCTACTTATCCCGGGAAAGCTCGCGCGGGACCCGGGAACGAACCCACAGACAAAAAGTGAAACTTCGGCAGGGCTGGAGCGGCTGCTGGTTGGTGCCTTTCCCCCTCCTTCCTCCCCACCGTCCCCACCCCCTCCCCTCGGTCTCCAGTGCGGTGCCCTGAACGCTGGAGGCTGACGTCAGGGGCCTGAATTCCTGACTTTGCCTGCACGCATTTGTCCATGTAAGGTATGGGAAGGCGTGTGCCCGCTGGGCCGCCGCGCAGAGCTCGCCTGGCGGGGGGAGGGGAAACCCGCAGCCGGCGGTGGCTTTGCCAAAAGGTGGGCGCACGGAGGGCACTGCATTTCCTGGGAGGAAGAGGAGGAGACGCGGGAATGCAGGGAGCTTGCAAAGGAGGAAGGGAAAGAGGGAGATGTGGAGACTTTGCCTCTGCTGGAGGAAGAGGAAGGAGACGTAGGAGGAAGCGGCCGCGTCCGGAGGCTCGAGGAGAAACGGGAAAACCTGCGGCTCCTATTAAGGCGTCAAATTAGGGCACCCAGCTTGGGTGGGAGAGATCCAGCCATGAAATCCCCTTCCAAGATTTTCCTCATGAGCCCCGCCCTGGATTCCCAGCAAGACTCAAAACTTACAAGGTGTCAGAGCTGGCAAAGACCAACTTCCAACCCGTCCGCTTGGCACGTGAGGACACTGAGGCTCTCGGCAGAGAAATGACTCGTGCAGGGTCGTCTCTCAACAGCTGTCGGAGCGGGCCCAGGCGCTCTGCCTCCCACTCGGGTTCCCGCCTCCAGGAAGGGCCCTGGCTCCTTTTTGGCCCCAAAGCTTGAACCAGGTTAGATGTCCCGGAGCTGCGCGGACCACCCAGTGATTTATACTGCTCTTGGCCCAGAGCCAGTTCCTGGAAGGTCCTGGTTGACCGTGAGCCCTGAATATCAATGGCACTCAGTTGCTTCGGGGCAACTTCCTCCTCTGTCCTGTGCACAAATAAATGAATCCCTGAGTTTAAAGTTTACTTCTGAGCCCTGCCCAGAAAGCTTGCTCTATGCTTATAGCTTCAAAAAAGTCTGCGAACTGGGTGAACTGGTTTGAATACAGACTTGCTTGTTATTGGAAGGTCTGAGTTGGCTTTTTTTTCTCCTCTGACATCTGTAAGTGGGAACGCCGAGGAGAACCACCACTTACTGTGTTAGGGGGTTATGATGTGCAGCAGCCGTTGCCTGGAAAGCGCTCCATGCCTGAGACATCCTTTCCTTGAACTTCTCTCCTATTAATACCTAAAATCACCCCTCACATTAGCGTATGGTGAAAGCAGTTTCTCACCCGGTTATTGTATCCTCGGGTGAGTTAGATAGGACAAAGCGTAGTCCCGCTTTTACACTTCAGGCAAAAACTTAAGGAACGTTACTTGCCCGACACAAACAACTGACTGCCCAAGCACCTGACTTCCCCTCCTCCCATCTAGGTCTCCTGACTAATCCCTTGATCTTTCCATACCTGACCCTGACCTCTAGCAGGACCTAATTCCATTCATAACTGTTGAGAGTACACCATGAGCTACCTATACATAAAAACTCCAAAAAGTGGTTCTTCTGAGGATGAATTTAAGTGGGATTCTTTTGACCAGAAATGTGAAAACACCTTATTGGATTTATTGAGCACCTTCCTTGTGCTTAATAAGTGTTTGAATTCAGACATTTCAGGAGTAAGACTACCTAACCTCCCTGTGCCTCTCAACTACCTAATGTACACATACAAAAATATGAACATGGTGGGGCCTAGTGGCTCACACCTGTAATCCCAGCACTTTGGGAGGCTGAGGCAGGCGGATCACATGAGGTCAGGGGTTAAAGACCAGCCTGAGCAACATGGCCAAACACACTGTCTCTATTAAAAATACAAAAATTAGCCGGAGGTTGAAGTGAGCCAAGACTGCGCCGCTGCACTCCAGCCTGGGGGACAGAGTGAGACAATGTATCAAAAAAAAAAAAAAAAACCACGGTAGCAGAGAGACAAGATAGAGAGTAACCACCCATTTTACAGAATAATAAAATATTTTTCTCTTTACAACTAACACAGTTTGAAATGGGAGATATGAGCTCTTAGATTTTGTTCCGAGGTTTAAAAAAGATCAGATCCTATTACAGCACAGTTCACTCAAACGTTTTAGCATAGTCACATTCTGAGTACTATTTAGTATGAAAATAATTTCAGTGTCACATAAAGTAAAAATGGGTTATCCCAAAACTCGTGGAATGTAACGAGACTTGACCAGCATTTCTTTTTTTTCTTCTTCAGTAACCCACTTTTAAAGAATAATAGGGTCCTAATAAGGACTAATAAGATTTAATAAGGTATAATTAGAGTTGTTCATTTCTTCCATCATATACATTATAAGAGTATTGTGCTGGATCCAGAAATGCTACTAATTATGTTGAAACTGTTGTATGGGTGTGTGGTGGATGATCACTGTGTTTCTCCTGAAATGTATGTGAGTTGTTCAGGTGAGCCTGATGAGCGTGGTGTTAGCACGAGCATCATATAAAGTTAACTACAAAAGATAATTTTGACTCAAGAGGAACTCTCCAGGAGTGTAAGCACCAAAGTCATAATCCGGATGCTTAGTGAACCACATACGGTGTTGTCATTAGTGCTAATCCCACCAAAAGCCTCGTTCCCATTTCCTGTTCTGGTTTCTTTCATACTCTGACTTTTCTCAACCTCCTGTGACAACTTTTTATGTGCAGGGGCTTACAGAAAATGGGAAGGTTGTATAAATTTAGAGACTCAGTGTTAGAAAAATACTGGTTTACCCATTCAGAGGCTGAAAGAAGCACAGAATTTCAGGTGGAGTTGGGGGGTCATTTGGTCCAAGGATAGCACACGGGTGGCCTAGGCCACCAGCAGCATTTTCATGGGTTCAGTAATGGCACAAAAGACTTTTAGGCAAGCAGGGCTCGGGTCTTGCCTTTTGCCTGCATCCATTACAGTCCTGTACACATGGCCTTTGTATAGCTCAAGCCAGTCCTTTTTTGGAGTGACAGGCAGTATTTTAAGGATTGTTCATATACAATTCGGTTAACTCTCACAAAACCCATTCTGAGGTTGGCATTATTATTTTTTTATTTATCCATGAAGAAACTAAAGCCTACGGAGGTTAAGTACTAGTTCTGTGTTGAGAGCTGAGTAAGCTCTTACTCAGCTGAGGGTAGGTAAGCTGAGATGCCACCCTGATCCCTGGCAACCTGGCACCCCACCCACTGTTGAGTGACCATCTGCCCTCAGTTTGAACACTCCAGCATAGGGAACTTATGATCTCCTATAGTTCACCAAGAGGATAAGTTCTGAAGAGTCTATTAGAAAAATAAGAATACGAGGGCCATGGGTGATAGAAGGTAAATGCCAGTCTGCTGTTGCCTCTGACAACTTAAAAGCCATCAGGCCAAATGCCTCTAGTAAGGTTTGCACAGACCTTCATAATTTGGCACATTACTTGTCCCTTCAGCCTCATTTCTTCTAGGCCTTCACATGCCCTACCCTCCACCCTCTTTCTAATAGTTTTCCAAGCACATCTTCCCTCTCCATGTTTATCTGTGTTTGCGCAGGTTGCCTTTTCACCTGGGAGTCCTCATCCTTCTCTTTCAGATGAAGTTAACTTCAAGTGATGGGACCTGAATGCAAGCAGACCAACAGAAAGGAGGAGGAAAGTGAGAGGAGCCCAGCCATTTGGAAGTAGCAATCAAGACTAGCATGGGCAACGGGCACAGTGGCCCACGCCCATGATCCCAACACCTTGGGAGGCCGAAGTAGGCAGATCACCTGACGATGGGAGTTTGAGACCAGCCTGGCCAACATGGGAAACCCTGTCTCTACTAAAAATACAAAAATTAGCTGGGTGTGTTAGCACACGTCTATAATCCCTCCTACTCAGAAGGCTGGGGCACAAGAAGTGCTTGAACCCATGAGGCGGTGGTTGCAGTGAGCCGAGATCACACCACTGCGCTCTAGCCTGGATTGACACTCCAGCTAGATTCTGTCTAAAAAAAAAAAAAAAAAAAGACTAGCATGGGGAGAGACACAAGAGAGAAATGTTTATTTCTGGTTCTTACCCTAAATTACTGTGCAACCTCTTGACAAGTCACTTCCTCTGTATTCTCAGTTTCTTTATTCAATTAGCTCCTTAAATTTGGTGATCTCCAACACTCTCCCAGTTTTTCAGTTTGATGTTGCAGTCTACCCAGTGATCAAATTCATACTCCTGAAGCACGGTACGCTATGTCATACTGCAACTCTTGTAAAGGTTCCTGACATGGTTTGGTTGTGTCCCTACTCAAGTCTCATCTTGAATTGCAGTTCCCATAATTCCCACGTCATGGGAGGGACCAGGTGGAGATAATTGAATCGTGGGGGTGATTTCCCTCCTGCTGTTCTTGTGATTGTGAGTTAGTTCTCATGAAATCTGCTGGTTTTATAAGGGCCTTCCCCCTTCACTGGGCACTCATTCTTCTGTCTCCAGCTGCCATGTGAAGAAGGACATGTTTGCTTTCCCTTCTGACATAAGTGTAAGTTTCCTGAGGCCTCCCAGGAATGCTGAAGTGTGAGTCAATTAAACTTTTTTCTTTACAAATTTCCCAGTCTTCAGTACGTCTTTGTTAGCTGTGTGATAATGGATTGATAAAGTTTAATAATATCAACCAAATTAAGTTCATACCCTTAAGCTTCCCCTTCCTCATTTGTATGGCCTAATCCTAATGGACTTTTCCAATTATGTAAGTTGTACCTCCAACACCCCCTCTTCCACCACACACATACACACACACCACTTCCTTTACTTCCTGCTTCTGGGCTTTTGCACGTTTTGTTTTCTCCTCCTGAACCTAAAAGACTTTCCAGGCCCACCTCCAAAGTTGCAGATTCTACCTGTCCAGCTAGCCCCTTCTCATGGAATCCCCACCCCATTGCCCATTCTTTCCAAACTCTGTCCGTTACTATGAAAATAATGTCTCTACTGTATTTTCCCAAAAAGATACCCATTTCGTTATCCCAATGCATTACAATTTGTCATCAGTGTGTTCGATCTCCTCCATGCAAATATACAATTCTTTATGGTGGTCTTCATGTCTTGTTCATTTCTCTTCCCCGGCAACCGAGGCAGTACCTGGCATTTATAACCAATTGTTACCCAGTAAGAGAGTAAATGAGTAAATCCTTCATCTTCGATAGAAAAAGCAACACAATCGATGCCGTCTCTCTGGAAGATTGGTCATGTTTCTTTAGACCATGACTCTGAGCAGGCATCGGGAGGGGCGAGGGGAAGAGAGAGAACTAATACTGGTCATTTGTTACAATGTGCTCCGTGTGCCCTTTCTAGGCCTTCTAACATTTAGCATAAATAAATTGTATAAATTTTCTGATAATATAGTTCTGCTATTACAATAGACATGAAATTAAAGCCATGGTTATTTTGCAACTTTATATAAACCAAATTTGAAAAGATACCTAAGGTCATCTTTTTTCAGAAAGAACTAAGCATAAATGACAGTTTAATGATTTTATGTATCCTGTTCTATAGTTGAACATAGGTCTCTTCCAAGATTATAGCACCAGTGTCATGCAAAACAGGCCTCTGGGTGAGAATGACTCTAGTTTGGCCCAATGAGCATCAGCCTTTTGAAAAGAGATAAAAAACTTAATATGGTAAATAGTAGTGCAGGCTTATAGTAAATGCAACACTAAAGAAGATAAAACAGTTTATAGGTCGGGTGCAGTGGCTCACACCTGTAATCCCAGCACTTTGGGAGGCTGAGACGGGGGGATCACTTGAGGTCAAGAAGTCAAGACCAGCCTAGCCAATAAGGTGAAACCCTGTCTCTACTAAAATACAAAAATTCGCTGAGTGTGGTGGTGGGCATCTATAATCCCAGCTACTTGGAAGGCTGAGGAAGGAGAATCGCTTGAACCCAGGGGGCAGAAGTGGTAGTGAGCTGAGATTATGCCACTGCACTCCAGCCTGGGCAACAGAGTGAGACTCCCTCTCAAAAAAATGAATACAATAAAATCAAACAGATTACAAAAGGTTTGCTTACCCTCCCATCTTCACATGTCATTGTAGAATG